TAAGACAAAAGCAGCTGCAAACTTGTCTTTCTTATCTCTGCACTGCCTCCACATCCAGCAAGAAGCCTTGGACTCCGCAGATCCTCAAATAACGGCAGGTAACCTGAATCACATCACTACTCCCATTAACGCTGCTCAGCCTTGCAAGTGATTTGCTACCATCTGGTATCGGGAACGAGGGCAGTTCATGCCTCCAAAAGACATACTATTCTTTCCCAAGTGTCTTAACAGCAAAACTGAAAACTCAAAACACTTTCAAGAGGGATGGTTCTTCGGAGTGACAGGACCACAGAGAAAGGCTGGGGAGAGGGAGGTCCAAAAACGGACACCCAATACGGCACAGGCCGCACACAACATTGTCAGAGGGCTCTTGAACTGCGGCGAAACAAGGTATAAAAGAAACACATTTTTCCATAGGCTAATTGATAGAAATGAGAGTTAAGTTCCTATGGCATCTCATCATGATAACAAAACACTGAATGAAAAGACATCTTTTGAGGACCTGCTGTTTAATATAAAGCACAAAACTGAAAGTAATGTGGCCAATTTTTTTTTTCAAATTCGGCTAGATGAGAGCTCTGAATATTCGTGGGCTTGAAGGGACCACTCTGATTATCCAGCTCCACATTTCCCCAAGTTGGACCACAGTGGTTTTATGAAAAGAGGACAGGAAGGAACCTAACTTCAGGATACTTACAAGGCCCTTCCTTCCCAAACCACCGTGGGCCTTGGTGCACAAGATGAATGAATGGCAACGAGAAGTCTTGCGGGAAAGAAGCCGATTCACCTTTATTTAACCCTGTAGCCTCCTGACTTACCTGTCCATGAGCCCCCTTCACGGATATAAGAATGATATAAAGATGGTATAAGGGTGTAAAGATAATATAAGGATGATATAAGTATTAAAAACTGGCAGATCAAATGTTGTGAAAGGCTAACTTAGTTCAAGGTCACGTAGCTGCTTGCGGATTTAGATTGCCCAACTTGCTGTCCAGTTTTTTTCCACTATAAATTGCAAATGAAAACCAGTGGTGATGGGCTCACACCTGGAAAAAGGACGGGGGAAGAAAGGCCGTTGACCAGGCATCCCAATGGGCAGCGCGAACATGAGCCTAGTGTGGGAAAGAAGGCAACTGGAGACAAACAACCCCCCCCAGCCCCCCTGGCAAAAGAGCCGAGCCCACCCAGCTCCTGCCGACCGCGGCCACTGCAAAATGCAGGGGCACTGCGGCCAGATCTTTCCCAGAAAAGGCAGAAATCTCCATTTGTACGTGAATTCATGCCAGTTGCTAAGTGATGGCGCCATGCAGGTCAAACACAGCAGGCCTGCAGGCCCACTGTCCACCTGCCCCAGCCCTCGGGCCCCCCTTCAAGAACTCTGCTCTACACAAACTTCTATCTACAAACAATTGGGACCTCAGAGGATACCAAAATTTGATGACACACACTTGATTCTGAGAGGAGAGAGAAGTCTGAGAGCAGACACTGTCCATTTAGTGTCTACCTTCAACGCCAAAGGTGGAGTCAGCACTGCTGTTCAAACGGGAGACCCTGCTGCACTGGGGAGACCCTGCCACAAGGACTCGCTCTCTGCAGGGCACCTCCCGGGTCCCGGGTCTCCTGCAGACAGTGGTTATCTTCACATGTCTGACAGAGCTAACACAAAGGTACATGCAGGAGTGTGTGCCCCGTGAAGTGACCCGAGCTACCCAACCACCGGCCTCATCGGAGCGTAACCCACAGTGACTGAGTGGTCAGCACACCTGGCTTTCTGTGTCAGGAACACCATACATTACTCAAGCACAGGCAGTCTCTCAGGGGGTACCCAATGGCTGATGAACACAGGGTTCCCCTTCTACTGGTAGATGCACATTCTCTCAAAGGGAATCTGCTGCCTGTATACAGCGCTCGTGCCAAACCGCCCACTGGTCGGGCTCAGTGCGAGGCAGCAGCCCTGAGAGGCATTTCCTGGAGTACTGTGGAGTTTCAGAGGACCCCACTACTCGGTGCTTTTTAAAAATAAGTGCTGGTAAAAAACAGGTTTGAACGTTACTTTCTATTGATTGTACAGTGGCTTGACCACAATCGCTTGGGTGCAGAATCAACTTGAGCGTTATGGGGCTAGAATACTATGGAGTTATGCAATACAGAGGCACTGACTGGGTCTAAATCAGAAGTCCTAAAAAAACAGCAGTGTGGCCACAGAATCTCTTCTATTTAGTTGGTGACTGGCAGACAGCTGGTTCAGTTTAGGGAGGCCTGCTGGGAATCTGTAAGACACTGTGGTGTCTCCCTGTCTTGTTTACAGGCAAATGTGCGTGCACCTGACGGTGGAGGCCACTAGACAACCAGCAGTGGGCTTTCTGGACACATTTTGGGATGCTCAGAAAACTAAATAAAACATTTTTATCTGTTCACCTGTAATGAGGTCCCCTTATAACCCAGACAGATAGTCAGGACAGTGGTGCAGTGTAGTCATGAAACAGGATGACCTCTTTTGGCTTTGGGTCCACGTCCCACTCTTATTAGGATCCTGCCCTCTCCAAACAAGTTGAAAAAACAGCCCTTTATTCCTGAGAACCTGCCAACGACCGACCACTGAAAGCGGTGGTTGTTTAGTACCCAGCAGTATTAGATACTCATCAATGGCACTGAATCAGATCACATTTCTACACTTGTGTACATCCCTCCGGGATGGATGGATTACCCACTGTGCCAAACACTCACAGCAACAGTGGGTTCCCCTTGTTGGAAAAAGTTCAAAGGCTATATATATGCAAGGAGGCTTCTAGGTGCCAGGAGGGAAGTTGAGTAGATGAGGGATTAGGTGCTCGACTCCAAACATCAGACAGAACAGACACTGCAGGTTCAAATCCCAGCAGGGTCAACTCAGACGCTACTATGATCTTCTAGGTAAACAGAGCACCCCAGAGACTCCTGCTCCTTGACAAACTTTCGAGGGCCCTGTGGACCGCTGCTGGTGTTTATGAGGGCACAGAAGGGGGAGGAGCTTCGCAAGCATTTCAACAAACACAGTCTTTACTTGCAGGTACTGTTGGGGAAAAGCACATCTTTGCAACGTGCTGTGTCAACAGTGGCGAGGTATAGAACCACCCTCACCCAGAGGCCCGAAGGCCACGAGACCCTTTCAGGCAAGTCTGACTGTAAGCACAAATGTTTTAGATTTCTACCACTGCGTTCTTATCCAATGCAAATCTATAAAGAAACCTAAAATTACCCACAAACCTGTTTATTTTCTTTAGTTTCTAAAGGCCATCAAATCCTTGGAGACAGTATCGACCTCCAGCAGTTAACATTCAGAAGCAATACACTCACAGCAGTGTCTCCACTGGGCTTATTACCGCTCCAGTCAATGGTGTGTTTCAGAGCTGGGAACGTTTCCAATGGAGTTTTCTCTGCTAGTAGCAAACACCACTGCTTCCACAATCCACATTGGGTCAGCATTTAACAGAGGGTCTCCCTCCCTCTCGAGCAGGTTGTCCACGAATATGAGCTCAACCACTGGCTCAAGAGAAGCAGAAAGTCTTCTCAATAGTTCAAAATTCATTTTACGTGCAACTACGGGCCTTCTGCAAACTGAGGCTCTGAGCTCTTTAGGGCAGTGACTATAATCTTCCTGGGTACAGAAGGCCAACAAGGTGATTGTCACACATCAGCACAGAGTGAAAGCCATTACATATTAGTAGCCAGTGAGAAACAAGGTTCAGGACCCTGCAGAGTAGAGGAGAGCAGTGTAATGCGCCGGCAAGCAGGGTGCTGGAAGGGGAGCTGGATGGCATGTTCATCCATGACCGCACTGGCCGGCTCTGGAGTCTAAGGAAGATGGATGCTCACTACTGTACTGGTCGGTGCCTAGGCAGTAAGTAACAAGTCACCGGATAAAAGTTTAGGTGGAACCACAGGTTTGGAAAGTTCTGGGATCCAACATAATGTCTACAGGAGCATCAGTGTTAGAATGAAAAGTCAGTGTCTGGGAAACAGGTAGGGCTCCCTCCCCTGGAATACTGGAAAGAGGTGGAAAAGACCGTATCTTCATGTGACCGAGTGGATCTTCTAATACAATCCTGTGGCTCTCTGTTAGGAATCAAGCAGTAATTAGTTACAGCCCAACTTTTAAAATATCAGTTAGCACGCCTACAATTAAACAGGAAGAGATGATGAACACGACGCTGGGCAGAAGCTGCAGCGGTGGAGCTGGCTTGTCCATGAGCTTTACGCACAGCACAGATATGTGTTCTGTTCAAAGCTCTGTGTCAGAGGCCCCATATGGCAGGCCCCATGTTCGTTCTCCGGGGAAGTTTGCAAACTCTTAAAAATTAGTTTATTTAAGTCTGACAAAATGCACGACATTGTCAGATGGTCAATTTTCACTGCTGGAATGAGTCCACATCACATTCTCCCCGCAAAACTCTTGCCCATAAGGAACCTCTACGTCTTCTGGACCACCCGCAACTCCTTAACATTTTCCTCTATCGCCTCTCCATGAGCACCCTAAAAAGTAAAAACCCTCGGACCCCTCCACTCCACCCTAGCAATACAGAAAAGTCCGAAGACCATGTTTTCCAAGTTTTACGGAGCTGCTGGGCCTCAGACAGCCGCCTCCTGTCTATCTATACCCGGGTCCTCCCCGTGAGCTCCCCTGTCTCCTCCCCTTGCGAACCTCAGAACCCCACGCTTGCTGGCTGCCCTGAAGGTCCAGCTACGGCCGCAGGCGATAAGGCCAGGCGTTCCGGGCAAACCCTGTCCCAGCAGCTGCATGCACCTGGGAGACCCGCCCGACAGGCTGGGCCTGGGCCTCGCGGAGGCGCCTCATCTCTCGGCTCCGCCCCAGCTGCAGGAGCCCCCAGGAACCGCCAAACCCGGCTGAGGCGTCAGCCCGAGCTGCCTCCAGACCCCAGGCCAGACCCCCTCCTCCCCACCGGGCTCGGCCCGGCCCCGCCTCAGGCTCCGGTGCTCCCGACAGCCGGCCACGCCCGTACCTGCCGGACCCGGTGCAGGGCGTCCACGAAGCCCTCGGTCTTCATCCCCACCGGAGCGCTCTGCCCCTGCACCAGCTCCGCCATTACCACCCCCGCCGCCGCTCCGCTGCCCCGTCCGGCCTCCCCCTCCGTCTGGGGACCCGTAGCCGGAAAAGGAAAGTCGCCCCACTTCCGGCGGAAGGGAAGACGGGACACTGGACGCGCGAGGAGCCGCGTCTGAGGGCGAGTCAGAACACGTGACCGCGGTCCGGCCGGAAGTGGGGGGCGGGGCCGCCGCGGGAGGCCGTCGTCGGGTCCCGAGGCACTGGTTGCGGCCCCGCCCATCCCAGACGTGATTTGGTCCAGGTTGGTCGGCGATGCCGCCGTGTCCGGCTCTTGAGGCTCGAATGTGGCCCGGGGTGTCCGGCTGTCGGCTTTTTGGAAACTGAGAGAGGAGTGACGTGGCTCTCCCGAAAGAGAGCGCGACCCTGGCAGCGCACCCAGAATTGGCCATTGATTTGGAAGTTTGGGACGGAGCGCTTTGAAATGGCACCATGAGGACCCAAAGGGAGGCTGGAGGGCTACGGACGACATTCTCAAAATTAGTGCCCCACGGTGGCAGGGAGTCCCTGGCCTGAGTTTTTGCACCGTAATCAGTTTGCTTGAGGATGGGCTACCGTCACATCTGGGGTTGCCTAGCGACACAGCTCAGGAAGGACTCTCCCACTGGAAAACCAGCTTGGCATCCTCTTACAGTCCCCCTGGGACTCCGAGGAAGCAGGAAATACCAGGGGACCACCTTTGCTTCCGTTCCTGCTAAGTCAAGACCGACCACAATGCAAGAGGGCTTCTTGGAATGCTGAACTTTTTAAGAAATGGCAGTGACTGGGTATAGACATTTCAAAGCAAAGGAAGGAATCTTAGTGTTGCTACACACTTGAGCTTTTGAGGTGGATCTTAGAAATGAGCTCACAAAGTACCCAGAAAAGAAACAAGGCTTAGAGGCTTCTGAAACACATCTTGTTGGAGGCAGGTGTGATGCCAGGGAGTTGGGTTTTAGTGGGCAGTCATGCTGTCAAGCATTTTATCCCCAATTTGAGGTGGGGCAGGCAGATAAGCTGGAAGAAAGGGAAATAAAGAAGTAAAACCCAGTGTGACTTCTCTTGGTCTCTTTTATCAGCATGGTAGGAGAGCTTTGGGTTTTGGGGGAAAAGGTGTGAAGAATAACCGCCCAATAGTCGAGAGCAGTTCTTCATTGGTTAATGGCTTCATGACTAAACTGTGAAATTCTTCTGAGCAGAGACGGAGCCCCCCCCCCAACCTGTACCCCTATAGTCTGGCACATAGTAGGTGTGTAGGAAACTGATTTTGAATTCAATGATGCCAAATTAGGATAATTCCTAGCTAAGGGAAAATGAAAGGATTTGGCAAAATTGTAATATTGAAGATGATCACTTTCTGACAAAACTGCCTCAGCCCCTGTAGGAAAGCACAGAGTGAGTTGTGTGGCTGTCACTTTGCTGTCATAAGGCAGGAATGACACCTGCCAACTCATCTGTTCGTGCCCCAGCCTGGGTGCATCCAATGTTCTAACCTCGCTATGTTTATAAAAATCAAGGCTATGACATCAGCCTTCTGGAACAGGGAAGGTTCCACTGACCCAATTTTAGTGACAACTTGTATTTTGAATATTTTTCAAAATCTCTGATATGTTTATTCATCAAATTTCAGTTGTTTCTCTCTGACCATAAATAGTAAAAACAGGCTCGAGTACAAAGTACATTGAAGTTTGGTCCAAAGACCACAGAAAACCTAACTAAGAAGACAAGGTTCTGATTCTCCCTCTGTTATTGGTTGACCAACTTCAGGCGACTCACTTATTTCTTGGGGTACAGAAGAGGAAGACCATGGCAGAGTCTTTCAAGTCCGCTGTTATGTTCTACTAACACCCTGGACATCATTGTCTTCATGCTTATCACAACTGCTTTTAAATCCCCATGTAATTATCTGTTTACTGTCTGTCTGTCCCACTGGAATAAAACTTCCTCTGAGATGGGGGCCATGCTGGCCATCACCACGGCTCCCACCAGCACCTGGCACAGTGCCTGGTATTTCGTTGGCCCTTGTCTTGTCATTGAGAACTCTACCTTCAAGATCTAAGCACCCACCACAAGACTCACCTAACACCATCGGGCATCCAGATTTCAACGTGTGGGTTTCGGTGGATGAAAACATTTAGCATCTAGCAAATGTGGAGGGGTCTTTGTATGCTCTGGATATCTTTGATAAGATCCGTGATTTGCAAGAATTTTCTTTCAGTCTATAGCTTTCCATTATTTTGAAAAGCAAAAGTTTTAAATTTTGATGGAACCCAATTTATTCTCTTGCAGACCATGCTTTTGGAGTTTCATCTAATAAAAGAACTGCCTAGGTCAAGGTCACAAAGATTGTCTCCTGTTTTCTTCTAGGAGTTTTATTGTTTTAGGTTTTACGTTTAAGTCTGTGATTCATTCTGAGTTAACTTTTGCATAAGGCGTGTAGTATGGGTCACACTCACTTTATTTTCACGAGGATATTCATTTGTTTCACACTAACTGTAAAAGGGTGAGCCTTTCTCCATGGAATTGCCTTTTACTTTTGTCAGAAATTTAGCTGCACAGGCGCAGGTCTCCTGCGCTCCCCATCGACACACAGGCCTGTCTATCCTCCAACACCACGCTGTCCTGATCAGTGCAGAGTAAATCTGACAAGTAGGTAGTATGAGTCGTCCGACTTCATTCTTTATCGAAATTGTTTTGGCCATTTAAGCTCCCTTATCTGAGCAAAACTATGGCTGTTGATATCTACAACATAATCTGACTGAGGTGCTGTTGAATCTATAGATCAGTTCAGGGGAAAATTCCTATCTTAGCAAGTCTTCCAATCCATTAACAGTATCTATCTCTGCATTTATTTTGGTTTTCTTTGATTTTTTTCACCAGTGTTTTATAGTTTTCAGGATAAAGATCCTGAATATACTTTTTTTTAGATGTAGACCTAAGTTTTTCATGTTTTTTTTTGCACGTGTGTGCTATTGTAAATGGTATGCTTTAAAATTTTGATTATCAGTTAGTTGTTCATTACTGGTACATAGAAATTGAATTTTTATATTAAACTTTTATCCTTAAACTTTGTTAAAATCTTTACTTCTAAAGGTGTTGGGAGGGTAGATTTCTTGAGACATTTTTATGTTGGCAATCATGTCATCTGCAGATGGGGATAGTTTTATTTCTTCCTTTTCCATTTGCATGTCTTTTACTCCTTCCCCTCACCTCTTGCCTAGCTGGGCCTCCAATGCAATATCAGATAGGCACGGTGAGCATGGACATCCTTGAAATGTCCCTGACCTCAGCGGGGTGGCATTTGGTCTTTTACCATTGTGCGTGGCATTAGCTGTACATTTTTTGTAGACAATCCTGCATCAAGTTGAAGAATTCCCCTTCTATTCCTAATTAGCTGAAAATATTACCATGAATGAGTGCTGAATTTGGTCAAATGCTTTTCCATGTTGTTGAGATATGATAAGGCTTAAAATGTTTTTAGTCTGTTCATGTGGTGAGTTACATTGGTTGATTTTCAAATGCCAAACCAATCTTTCTTTCTCATGATAAACCCTCCTGAATCATGGTGTCTGTCCCTTTTGTTGAATTGTATACTTTTTTGGCTGGATTCGACTGGCTAATATTTTGTTGAGTGTTTTTGCATTGGTGAGGAATATTGGTCTGTCGTTTTCTTTACTTGTAATATATTTGTCTGGCTTGGTACCAGGGTATTACTGGTCTCATGAAGTGATTAGTAGGTATTACCTTCTCTTCTGTTTTCTGGAAGAGTGTATGTGCAGTTGGTCTTATTACTTCCTTAAATGTTCTGTAGAATTTGCTAGAGAAGTCATCTGAGCCTAGAAAGCTTGCTTGTTTGTGTTGTTGTTGTTATTGTTAGAAGGTTTTTACTATGAATTTTAAAAAAAAATCCAATCTAACAATCTCTGCCTTTTAATTGGCCTGTTCAGGTCAGTTGCATTGAATGTAATCATTGATTTGGTCTGACTTAGGGCTACCAATTTAGTGTTTGTTTACTCTTTGTCCCCTCTGTCTTTTGGTCACCTTTTCCCTTTTCTGCCTTATTTTGGATTGTTTGAAACATTTTTAGTACTGCATTTTAATTCGCCTATTGGCTTTTTGGCTATAGTCTTTTGTATTTCTTTTAGTGGTTGCCCTTGAGTGTATAAGAACCAAGTGCTTTAATACAGGATATAAACGGTATCAATCTCTCTGTAATCTGGCCTCTTTTTTTGGCCCCACGTATATTGTTGAGGTTTATCTAAGTTCACAGACGTAGCCGTGTTTCGGTTACTGTCATTCCATCCTTCCGCTATCTGAGCAAAGCAGAAAGAATGTATGCTTTCTCCTGTGGATAATCACTTAGATTGTTTCTGTTGTTCCTCTGTTACAAATGTTGTTACAGCAAATCTTGAGCTTGTCTCCTCGTGTACTTGTGGGAGACTTTCTCAAGGATGAGTTCCTGGAGTGGGGGTGGGGTGTGAAGTTTCCAGTGAGGGTACGGGGCGGGGGGCACACCTGGGGGGCAGGGGGGATATGCCGCATCAGTTTTGTCAGAGAAGCCAATGGCTTTCTATGGTTTCTAGGGCGGACAGTATCTCCGAAGTGGGGCACCCATCCCCCCTCTGGAGATGACTTCTTGTTCCTCCTCATCCTTGCTGGTGGAATTTTATGTTTTGAAATCTAATGAGTTAAAAAAAATTAAAATAAATGTTAAAATGAAATTGTATACTGCGGTTACACACACACACACACACACACACACACGCACTACCATTTTCACCATTTTTAAGTGTGCAGTTCAGTGACACTAAGTGCATTCATACTGCACTGTGACCATCACCTCCATCCCTCTCCAGAACTCCTTCTTTCCAAACCAAAACTCTGTCCCCATTAAATACAAACTCCTTGTGCTCCCCTCTCCTGGGCCTTGGCACCCCACCCCTGCCATTCTGTTTTCTGTCTGAATTCGACTGCCCCAGGGCCTCAGAGCAGGGGACTTGCACACT